ACACTGCTTGAGCACTCAACTGCGGTCGGACATGTACACTTCGAGTCAGTCCACATCAACTACCAGCAGTCTAGAGTGTCTAAGCGCCACATTTGTGGCGCTTGAAACTGGGTTTACCCATGGAGCTGCATTGCAGGTTGCTACTGGCCCGTGATCATGCAATGACTCAACCGGAACAACATGATCATAAAGTCAGCCATCAAAGAAATGCATTTGGAAACCATAAGCCGAACTCTTTGGTGAACCATAGGCCAAATGGACAGCTGTCTGTCGTGCTGAAAACACCACATCCTTCAAAAGTAACTGACCCTCCAAACCCGGAACACCCCCAAGTTGCTCCCAAGCACCTCAAATGGTATGTGGATCCCTGGCATTTGGGGGGCACAATACTATATTGCACGGCAAAGCTATAGTGAACACCTCGCTCGGGCAAGAGGCGCGTCGCGCGTCGCGCCTAAACCTGTCCCAGGCCGAAGATTCGGAGGGCCATGAGGGGTCTCTTCTTGCCCGAGTCAATGGAACGAAACATCCCCATGAGTAGCAAATGAACCTCTCAGTACGATCTTCCAAAAATAATGCCTTTTGGTTGATTTTATGGATGAAAAGACATAAAAACTGCACAGTTGGAAAATCCATGTATATATATAATTATATATATATAATGGCCCAATGACTTCTCAGAAAAGGAGCCGATGTACCGACTTGCATGCAGCAGGTGGGAATATGCCCTGTGCACAAGCTACGTGCATGACTTGAGAGTGCAACATGCAGGGATTGATCTAAGCTGCCAAGCCTTTTCTTCATGGCGATGGCGAGCGAATGCGAGCGAAGCCTCTACTTCGTTCACCACTCCCGCTTGATTCTCATCCACCTACAGGCACTTTGAACAAACGTTATGATGTGATCAACACACACCGGAATTGGTCAACAGGCAGGTCAACTACCCAACAAAAATCACAGCAGGGCGTGGTCCGTCCAAGTAGGTCTGCGTGGCTTCTCGTACTTTGCTCATTTGGATCCACCTTGTTGTAGCTCCGCTGAAAGGCCCCGAGTCGCAGAAACAACTTGAGCGCTTGGAGTCGCCAACGCCAAGTCGCGGGGTCAACTCTTCGTTCGTGAGGCTCCCCCAACGAAACATGACATGCTTACATCGTCTGCATATCCCCCCATGACATCCGGCACGCGGAAGCTTCGCCCTCAAAGAACGAGCACCCATGTCCCACTCAGCTTCAGTCCTGCGCCCAATATTTCGGCGGGCCCAAAGAAACACAATTGAAATCAAGCCCTCCAGGAGTGACAAAGGGGAGCTTCATCGAGGTTAGGGGTGTCCAATATCCACTCACTGGATGGGACTAAACACCACCCCTGTGTGACTCCTGGCTCACAAACCCTGCTTTGCTGTATAGCTTTGAAACTTCAGGTTTCACCATCGGTGAAACATCTGCCCAACGGTCGATCTGAGCAGAAACGAGGCCAAATGCCGAGCATGTGGAAACCAAGGTGGGTCGTCAGTGTCGATTTGACACTTGTGAGCTGAGACACCATGCGGAAAACTTTTCTCGCCATGAGACACACGCCGTGAGTTCGTGATGCCTTGACTAGAGCCTCCTTGCGGTGTAGAGTCCAGACTTCCCACAGCGGTGGTGCACTGATTGATCAAAGCAACTAAAAACATACTAAAACTATTCTCAGACTCTGTGTCGCCGTCAGCCACACTTCCCCGGGGGATTGCTCTCACCTGGCGGCCCCGATCTTGGCCACACACATGCATGTGCGAGTGTCGGGACCAGCCACGGTAGCTCAAAGCAGGTGGTGTTCCCCCTGCCTGCCACGTAAGCTTCACGGCCCATGCATTCTCGCGCCGGCTCCGGCGTCGCGCGGGTTCAGGTGCAGTCGAACATCGTACCTCCAGCTGAGGTCGAACAAATTGAAAGCTTTAGCACCGTTCCGCAAAGCCTTCCTGGGCACAAAAGTGAATCATGTCAGGAGTCTCACTTGTGATTTGTGCTACCCTATCTGGGCCCCCAAACGTTGCAATACCTCGTTCATCCATGTTCATGAACGTAACAAAATTTTCCTACAGCTGGACCACCCTCAAGGTCAAGCGCGCAGTGCCAGGAGTCAGGAGCCTGTCAAGAAATGACATATCATCCTTTCCGTGGGCCAAAACAAGCACCAGCCCTTTGTCAACCCTTTTTTTGAGTCTGTGGGCTGGCCTTCGGGCTGCCTGAGTCTGTTTGCAAACACCGGTTTCTGGTCCTAACCAAACCTTCAACCTGAAGGGGGAAGCGAAGGTCAATGGACGTTTACGCCGTAAACCGCCGGGTGGGCGGTGGCGCCGCGATGGCGCGACGAGTAGCTGCTCACTGAAGGTCTGGTCTGTGTGGACTGTTCCGTGCGGAACACATCTTCAGGGAATCTTGAGACAGTTTCCGAGAAATCAAGATTCCCTGTAGGGAAGCTGTAGAGAAATCAGGCCGTGTTGAACTGCATACCGAGAGTAGGGGGTGGGGTAGGGACTGGAAAAGAACATGTGCCACATAGATGAACCCCCTTGGTCGTCGAAGGTGGAGTAGTTCTGGCTAAAACACCACTCAGCCAGACTTGGAGATGCACCCCCTGGGTCGTCATAGACCTTTACCAAACTCACAATGCACATCACTAGATAGATCTAGATGGCATATATTATCACTTCAACTGGTGATAATATGTGATAATATTGATTGTTCTTGTTCTTATCCAAAAACTATGGAAACAGTGTGCCCGCAACAACTACGGCATGGATGATTGGAACAAACGTTGAACAACTGCTGACCTCATGTAATCGTACTTTTGCATTGGACCAGCCCCAGCTCTTGTTCCACAAATCCACAAACTCCACTCAAACGGACTGCACTAAAACAACATCACATCTCACAAAATCCCAGATTTCCTCCACGATTTGCAGAATGAAAACAACGCACACCATGGGTTACAATAAATGACCGTTCCCGTCAATACTAACGAAGACCGATCCTTTCATCGTATTCACATCAGATTCTCCCCAGTCCCCATGACAACTCTTCCAGCTCGAGCTTTCCAAGAGAGAGAGAGAGAGAGACAAAGAGAGAGAGAGATAGAGATAAAGAGGGATATCGGATAGGGAGAGGGAGAGGGAGAGGGAGCGAGAGAGAGATTCCACCGACCCGGTTCACCCATCAAGCCGCACCTCATCACTCGCATCCCGGGCCACCAATCGCCTTGAGGCATGCCAACTCTGGGATGTTCGCCATCACCAAGACCTGACTGGAAAGCACCGCCACGCACAGTGTGTGTGACAATAGGGGGCTAACCTGGCTGTCTGCCAAT